TTTTCGTATATTATTCTCTTTCACTCTACTCGTGTCTTTTTTGTGTGTTTGAATCTGCATGCGTCTATTTTCGTACTTTATTAAAATGACTTATATGTTCGTTTTAAGTCGTTTTTTTTTTTGGTTGGTTGGGTTGGGTTGGGGGGAGGGGGGTGTAAATCTGCTTTCTTTTATCAATTCTAACGACCGGAAAGAAAATTGATTTGTAGGTCTGCGTTTTTCAGCGTGTACGTATGTGTGTACGTATGTGTGTACGTATGTGTGTACGTATGTGTGTACGTATGTGTTTACGTATGTGTGTACGTATTCCTCAAGTGTATTTGTTGGGTTGAGTTGACGTCATCGCTTTTCGCAGAATTGGTGTCATGATTTCTTCTGTTGAAGCACAGCGGGTGGTTGGCGGGTGGATGTAGTTTGGTCTCTCTTTTCTATATAACATTAATCGTCCTTTATCTCTCCTCCTTTTTGCGTACTGTGCTACTTTCTTTTAACACGTGATCGTCTTCGGTATTTATATCACCTTATTGTGTTGCAAATGCCATAAAACTTTTACTATGAAAAAAAAGTAAACAACAAATGTTAAATTACGTCACAGGCCTTGACGTTTTCATCGATATCGTTATTTTTTGTTTGGGACCTGAGAGCATTCTGAAACAACCTCAACTTCCTGGGAAACATACAGTGCAAGCAGCCATTTATAGGCGCTAATTTAAGACACTAACATACTAACAAGATCTTTCGATGTCTATGGCCGGGTACCCATTCTCACCTTGGTGAAGTGAAGAAAATTCATGTAAAGTGCCTTTTCCAAGGACACAACATCGAGCTCACGATTACGAGTCGGATAGCCTAACCACTAGGGTATGATCCAGGGTGTGGGTTCGAACCTAAGCCATCTATACCAAAGTTTAATGTATTGTATATAACAACGCAACACAAAAGACCGGCTTATTCCAAAGTAAAGGGGTGTGTGTTTATGAACTTTTGGGGAGCCATAAAAACGCTTCGAACTACCCCGATCCAGGATGGGGATTCGAACCTAAGTCTGTTGAATCAAAATTTAGTTTAGTGTATTGTTTTATATATAACAAAGCTAACGATAGGCTTGCTCAAAAGCAGGGATGTATAATGTGTATGTGTGTGTGAGGGGG